GGAACACATTAATTAACTGAAAAATGTTGCATAGTGTGCCTTTAAATTCCATTTTGCTTTTTTTTTTTTTCTTCTGGTTTTACTTTCCCTGTTCTGCCATCAACCCATCGACCTGTACAGATAATCATGTTTAAAACATTCCAATGATTTCTCGTCCTGTTTGCCTTGTTTTCAGTTCACAGGTGCTTTTCCTAATCTGCCGGAAGTTAGTCGGCCACCAGATGGCAAACAGAACAGAAGTCCTGAAATGGCTGAGAGAGATCCTCATCTGCAGGAACAAGTTTCTGCTGAAGAACAAGGTACCGTCTTGGTTCTGACCCACGGTCCGGATCTGCTTGTAACGATGCGTTTTTCAGTGATCCCGTTGTTCCCGGTCGTTTCAGGAGTGCGCCACCATGGGGGGAGCCATCCCCATCTGCCGGCAGGCGCAGACCAAGCTGGAAGTCTGCCTCTACCTGTTCCTGTGGAGCCCGGACACAGAGGCGGTGCTGGTGGCCATGTCGTGTTTCCGCCATCTGTGTGAAGAGGCCGACATCCGCAGCGCCGCCGATGAGGTCCCGGTCCAGACCATTCTCCCCAACTACGCCACTTTCAGCGAGCTGGCCTCTGTCAGCAGCCTGATAGGAACAGGTCAGTGTGTTTCTCTGAATTAGCCTCTGCTCTGACCACCACTGTTCTGTCAGATGAGCATACCCCGTCAGACCAGCATACAGTGAAAACGCATGAGCAAGACATCAGATTTACGTTTGTCCCTTTGGTTTTGTACAAAAAAGAGACTTTAAACTACCTCAACGGGTGTTTATCCCTTTAGTCATGTACAAAAAAAAAACAATGAAAGGTGACTGTGCAACAGTCAGGTCTATTGTTACCTCCATGAACAAGGTTATGATGTAGGATGTTTACATTCTTTGAGGTGGAAGTCTGATAGCTATGGTGTTACGTTTATGTCATAACCAACGCGAGCAAAATAAACATACTCCCATGTATGTTAAACTACTTCTGCGCATGGTTTATCTACCGCCGCGTGAGAAACTGCTGCTTAAAGAGGAGAAAATCTCTCTCCGCGCGCGCCAGCCCCTCCCACGCACGCACAATTTTCTATCCAGCGGCCACGCTCGAAGACGGCTGCCCTCTTGAAAGCGCCTCTGCGCTCGGACCGATTTTCTCCTCGCGCGGAGGAAAAGTGGTTTTGACAGGTTGGGAGGAGACAACTGTAAGCCTCCTCCTCTCGTCTTAACTGACGAGCTGTCAGTCAAATGCTTCCTGACACTACTTCCTTTGAGATCGTCTCTGCAAGGCCCAATCAGGAGGAAGCTTACAGTTGTCTCTGCCCAACCTGTCAAAACCACTTTTCCTCCGCGCGAGGAGAAAATCTGTCCGAGCGCAGAGACGCTTTCAAGAGGGCAGCCGTCTTCGAGCATGGCCGCTGGATAGAAAATTGTGCGCGCAGGGAGATCCCGCGCACGCGTGGGAGGGGCTGGCGCGCGCGGAGAGAGATTTTCTCCTCTTGAAGCAGCAGTTTCTCGCGCGGCTGTAGATAAACCATGCGCAGAAGTAGTTTAACATACATGCGAGTATGTTTATTTTGCTTGCGTTGGTTTTGACATAAAAGTAACGCCATAGGATAGCGGCTAAATTTAGTTGGCAGGATGAAGGAACTCGCCAAAAAGATCCATTACAATAAAAACCCCATTATAAGCCCCGCCCCTCTGCTAGCTCTGTCTGGGGCGGGTTATATTTTCACATGGCGAGTTGTACTTTCAAATTGTATTCAGCTATTTAAGAAGGTTTAACAGTTTTCTATCTAACTGAGGTTTGTTTCAGTGGAATTATACAAATTAAAGATTTAAAAAGTTTGATTTTTAAGTAGGTTTTATGTCTCCTGTGAAGAGCTGAAAGTTCAGACATTCAGATAAGCCATATCGTCTTCTCGAGGACTTGGACTAAACAACTTATTTTTTTTTCTGCATAGGTCGCTCCACCTTGCAAAAAAGAGTGATGGCCTTATTAAGAAGAATAGAACATCCCACACCAGGAAACATTGAGGTACATCAGTGTCCAGCCTTTACAGCTTTATAAGGACTGAGCAGCGAAGTGCTGTGATAGACTATTGTAACTTGAATGTTTATTATTAGCTGTTGGGTTTTTTTGGTAATATGGAAGTCTAAGGTTTTTATTTGAAGGCTGAAGGTTTTAATTGTTTAAACGCCTTTTTAAACTTTTCTTTGTAGAGAGCAGGAGGTCCTTTGAAACATCATGCTTCATTAAAGAGCTGATTTTCAGACTGGCTGTTTTCTGAACCAAGCATTCTCTCTTACTGTACCTGGTAGTTATTTCAGTTAAGCTTCTGTTCATTTCTCGCTTTCTGTGCTGCTTGTTTTAGGCTTGGGAGGACACTTACACTAAATGGGACCAGAGCACCAAACAGATACTGAATTTCCCTAAAAACAAGGCAGATGATGGACAGGTAAGATTTTAATCGGAATAACAGCAGGAGATTCAGATAAATTAACTGATTTATTTACATTTAGCTTCTATTGAAAATTGATGTTTTGATAGAAGCTAGTTTTTGTCAAGGATTCATTTGTAAAAGCAACTGTTTTCATAATTGACTTCCTCCAAACTAGAATCTAATGTGGAAGATTAAAAAAAATCTTCATGGTTTTAGACACACATATGTTAATGTTTATTCTCTGAGGTGAGGAGATCTCTCTTTATTAGTGATAATTATAATCTTAATTATTTTATTAAATAATACTTATTTTATGAAAGATTAATTAGAAATGTTAAGTTAAAATGTATCATCGAGGTTCTCTATGTTGTCTTGGTAGATGTGGTCATTTAAATCTTTTAATTTGAAGCCGTTATAATTTGTGGCGTCTTTCCTTATCCAGACGTTGTTAATCCATCTCAGTACCATCCCTCTAAAACCGCATTCAGAAGAATGTGATGAGTAAAGTAGCGTTCAGAAGAATTAACGGGTGATGCAAACTGATTCCAATTTGCACATAGCTGGAAACTCGGAGTCAAATAGAGCAACAACGCATCGAACTTTTTTAAATTTGCTTTCTGGAAACCAATCAGGGACTGGATGTGTTCTTTATGTTGGGTGCTGGATCCCTCTAACCTGACAACAGCCAGATGCATGTCTCGCTCCGCCTAGCTCCACTCACATACATCTGGGACACCGCCATAGGAACTGCCTGTACTGAAGGCTGGGCCTTATCAAAACTCCTTGCATATGATTGAATAAGCCACTTGTCTGTCATCTTTATCGACGTGCTATTTCAACCACTCACACCGAAGCTAACCCGTGACGCTGTGAGAGGAGGAGCCATTTGGTAGATCAAGCTCTTGCCAAATCCGGTCGGTAGAAGGGCGAAAACATCGTTTCCACCAACAAAAGCCTTCAAAGCCGTTCTCTGAAGTTCTTTTAATGAAACAATATCAGATAGATTGGACAACACAGAAGAAATAGCAGCATCAATGCTATGGCTTGCTTCCTCGATGCGAGCCGCCATTGTTGTTGGAATCTCACGGTCGCTTCTCCACTCCAGGAAACACGCGCCCTGCGTCTTGATTGGCCAGACCATAAATTCGGTTGGGTAAATCACTTTCAATGAGCGGGTTCCCAGATGTATGTGAGTGGAGCTAGGCGGAGCGAGACATGCATCTGGCTGTTGTCAGGTTAGGATCCCTCTGCCACGGTACAGAACCTTCCTGATTCTGGGCTTCTGGAAAGTTGGAAGACATCCTGCCGCATGTAATAGAGCAGATTGTAGTACTGGCCGAACTGGGAGGAGATCTGGTGGAGCCAGGAATGATAATGCCGTAGGCATCTTTCGCAGTGGTCTCTAAGTAGAAGTTGATAGAAAATGCTTTCTCCATGGGTGTAGTAAGAAAATACGGCATCTGTCTGTGGGTGTTACTTGTTGGGGCGTTGAGACGTTCCTCATTGGAGTGCTTCTTGCTGCAGCAGGGCTTGTTGGGGTGTGGCTGATCAGGACGTTCCTCATGGGCGTGACAACTTGGGTCATTCATTGTTGTGGCACAGCTCATTACGGCGTTCCTTGTTGGGGTGTGGCTCATTAGGGCAGTTGTCTTAGGGGTGTGGCTTTTTGGGGCGTTCCTTCTTGGGGCTTGGCTCTTGAGGGCATTTTTTGTTTGGGCGTGACTCCCTAGGTCATCATTGTGGCACGGCTCGTTAGGGGCGTTCCTAATTGGGGCATGCTTCGTTGGGGCTTCTGCTCTTTGGGGCGTTTCTTGTTGAGGCGTGGCTCTTAAGGGCATTTTTTGTTCGGGCATGACTCACTAGGGCATTCCTCGTTGGGACGTGGCTTGTTAGGGTGTTCCTCATTGGGGCGTGGCTTGTTAGGGTATTCCCAGTTGGGGCATGGCTTGTTAGGGAATTCCCAGTTGGGACGTAGCTCGTAAGTGAATTCCGTGTTGGGGTGTGGCTCTTTAGGGCTTTTCCCGTTGGGACGCGGCTTGTTAGGGTGTTCCTCATTGGGGCGTGGCTCGTTAGGGCATTCCCCGTTGGGGCGTGACTCGTTAGGGCATTCCCCGTTGGGGCGTAGCTCGTTAGTGAATTCCCTGTTGGGGCGTCGCTTGTTAGTGAATTCCCTGTTGGGGTGTGGCTCTTTAGGGCTTTCCCCATTGGGACGCGGCTTGTTAGGGTGTTCCTCATTGGGGCGTGGCTCGTTAGAGCATTCCCCGCTGGGACGCGGCTTGTTAGGGTGTTCTTCATTGGGGCGTGGCTCGTTAGGGCATTCCCCGTTGGGGCGTGACTCGTTAGGGCATTCCCCGTTGGGGCGTGGCTCGTTAGTGAATTCCCCGTTGGGACGTCGCTTGTTAGTGAATTCCCTGTTAGGGTGTGGCTCTTTAGGGCTTTCCCGAAGGGGCGTGGCTCGTTGGGGCATTCCCCGTTGGGGTGTGGCTCGTTGGATTGTTCCTCGTTGGGGGGTTCCTTGCTGTGACATAACTCGTTAGGGCGTGTCCACTACCTCAAAACAGGTTTACTCAGCTCTGAAGTTTTCAGGTCATTACAGAATGTTTCTGTCCCCCCACAGCAGGAGTGGATCAACATGACGGGCTTCCTCTGCGCTCTAGGGGGTGTTTGTCTTCAGCAGCGTAACACCCCTGGTCCTGCCACCTACAGCCCACCCATGGGTCCCCAGAATGAACGTAAATCCTCCATGATCTCGGTGGGACCTGGTGATACGACCAGCCCTGCTCCTTCATCCTGCTCCTCCTCTGCCTCCAGCGAGACGCCCGTCAGCCGCTTCCTTGACCGACTTCTGTCCCTGTTGGTGTGCGGCTATGAAAGGGTGGGCCTTCATGTCCGCACCAATGTCAAAGACCTGCTGGGGCTGGAGCTCAGCCCTGCGCTCTACCCCATGCTCTTCAACAAACTGAAGAACAGCATCGGAAAGTTCTTTGACACCCAGGGACCGGTGAGTCCAGTTCTAGGAACATAGCTGGCTCTCTGCCTGTGCCAGGAGAGCTTTGTTCTAAAGGGGTTTCTGTCAGTTCGTATCATTAGGGTGACCAGATTTTCAGAGTTTCTGAAAAGGACACTTTTTTTTTTTTCAATGCATGAAAAAAATCATTAATAACAGCCGATTCTGATGCCAAAATTGATATATCATGCATCCCTAGAAGTACAATTTCAATTTCATCCAGAATAAATTGGATATGGTGCATGTTAAATATAGCATAGCATTTTTTTCTTGTAAACTTTGTGGTAAACTTGGAGATATAATTATTATATTATATATTTCATGTTGCATTATGAAATAATGTAAATCTGTTTCACTTTTAAATCTGCAGCTCTCCCTACTTCTCTCTTTGCTTTGTTTAAAAAGATTTCTGAACCTCTTTACTAATATAATGATGCCAGAAACTAAATTTCAAGATATGTAGAAGCTCTGCAGTCTGATTCTGTCTGTCCAATAAGAAAACATGTTCATTTTAACCTGTAACTGTGAGTCATGGTCCTCTGAGAAGCCAAGATTTTTTTAACTAGTAAAGAAGAACAAATCATGTTTTCTCAAGCTTTATAATGCCAACTTGTTTAAACTTACAATCTGTTGCCATTTTTAGCATAAAAAGTAATATATAATATATATATATAATAATATTCACTGATTGTTGCAGCCAGCAAAGAGCCCATCAAGCTCTGATATTGGCCTAGAATCCACAGGTGCAGCAGCAGGTCTCTGAAGACAGAGGGCGCCAAAGGAAAACCAAAAACAAACCAAAAAAACACCTGTGGATAAAAAGCTGTAAAAAGCAGAAGGCAAACGTTTGCTCCAACAGGCAGCTACATGCAGGCTGAGATGAGAGAAGCCCTTGATTTGGTCAGTAGTGATATTAGTGAACAGCTTAGTGTTTTTATCAGGATTAAAACTTGGGAAATCAGTTAGCTTTACTGTTAAAAAGTGTCTGCATTTTTTTTTTTTACTGTTAATAGTTAATCTGAGCCGTAGATTCTGTTTCTGTCCTATGTGTCACATTCAGCAGTGTTGGGGCCCTGTCACACCGGGCCGATTTGGCTTACACTGAATTTCTATGTATGTTTTCCAACAACAGCCTAACTTGTGCATAACGCACGGCAGCGTAATACCAATAAAATGATACACAAGCATCATTTGATGGGCATTACGAAGCATTAATTAAAGCTGCTCCAAAGAGGAAACCCGTTCAGCATAAAAAGATATCTTTGATCGCAGTATTAACCTAGCTGCTATTTACCGCCGCCCCCCAAAATTTTTTATAAAATTAATAAAAAGAAGGAAGGTTAGCAGTCGCAGGAGATTCATCGTCATGTCTGCTAGGAAGTGTGTTGGTGGTGGGCAGGAAAGCAGGGAGGATCCATCACTCAACTTCTGGCTCCCCCTCTAATGGGGATGAAGTCTGGAGGAGAACTGACGGTTTCCTCCTGTGAACCCCCTTGATAAGTTATGCATGAGTTATGCACATGCGACTCATAGGTTTTGGATAAGCTAGACACCACGACTTAGAAGTAACTTACACTTAACGTTTGTCAACGATCAGATAACTTACCTGTAACTTAAGGCCCATATATGGCATACGCTGGCGCTTGCCGCATGTCGACGTGTGCCAGTGTGTTTCAGTGTGCTCATAACTTATAACGCATAACGTATCCAACATATGGCAGCGTTTTAGCCAGATTTTCCGAACGTCAGGCTGACTAAATTGTCAAGGTGTGATAGGGGCTTTATAATAATCATGAGAGCTAAGGCTCTTTGTTTGTTTTGTTTTATTCTTTATGATTGTTTTTGAAAGGGTAATTCTTCTTCTGTTTGACTTGTATAGGTTGTTTTTTTAGGAATCCAGCAGATTTGATGCCTCTTTTGGTTTTAGTCTGATTAGACTGAGCCACAGCTGCCTCCTTGATCCGATCCGATCCACTGCTGACTTCATTTTTATTTGATTTATTTATTTTCCTAAGCAAACACAAAGTTTTAGTTCAGATCAAGTTCTCCTTGGTTTGGAAAAATAACAAAGTTCCTAAGTGCATCAGCAACCCCCCCTCAGACTGCCTCTAAATTAACATTACGAAAGTTATGAAGTGGCCTAGTCAAAGTACAGACTTAAATCTGACTGAGAACTGCAATATGGCTGCTGGTACAGGGAAACCCTCCAATGTGGCTGAATTAAAATGATTGAGCAAAGTAAATTTTGCCATAATCGCTCCACAAGGCCGTTAAAATGCTGTCAAACGGGTGATTATAGTCGTTGCCGTGGAACATCCAGATTTAGGGGGATGATTACCTTTCCACAGGTTGGTAGATATTTTTATATGTTAAATTAAAGCAGACTTTGAACAGTGATTTTTAGATGTATTAATAGTAAATTTTCCTGGTGATAACCTGGATCCTTTTAGGGTCAACATTTTGGAAGAACAACAACAAAAACAACACAGCTCTGAAGATCAGTATTAACTGACTACATATTCAGGGACCAATGTATACAGCATACCAGGAACCCACAGCGTTCCCCACATCTTTTTATATCATTAATGGAGGATTTCATTAGTGTTTTTTTTATTTTTTTATTATTATTCTTTAACCCATTCAAACTAAATCCAGACCACCTTCAGTCAAAGAAAGGTTTTTGGTGAGCTGGTTCTGACGGTCAGTCCATAGTGTCCATGACTCTGAGCTGACGCCGTCTGTCTGTTAGTTTATCCATAAACTAGTTTTGCTTTGGTTAACATGGATTAGAACTGAACAGATAAGGAGAACACAATGAAGTTTGGTTGTTCTGCTGAATGGGAATAATCCTGGAATGTTCTCAGTGACTCCGTGTGTTTTCAGGTTCCCATTAATGACACAAACACCCAGTTTGTAGAGCAGACCATCGCCATCATGAAGAACCTGCTGGATAACAACACAGAGGGCAGCTCGGAGCACCTGGGACAGGCCAGCATCGAAACCATGATGCTCAACCTGGTCAGGTAGGAAAAACCCAGCTAGAAATGTTTTAAAGGAAAAGTCCGGTAAGCATGGAATAATCACTGGATCATTATTTATATCTATAAAATAACCACGCACAGGTCGGCTGGATGTTTCGGATCAGATGATTAGAAAGGATTCTGTAAAAGCTCCGACGAGAAGGTGGCCTGTGGCTGTATTTTGCGGCCTCCTGGAAATATCAGCTATAAGCGCGTTGTTTTTTTCAGGAGCTGTTTGTCACTTTTTCATGCAGTGATTTTATCCATGAACTGGTGAAACAGCTGTGGGCAAACCGCAGGTTTCCAGCCCCTCTGCCGCTGAAGAGCAGCGTTGGAGAGGCACAGAAAACAGCGCCAGGTGCCAAAGCGCTGCACAAAAAAATGCTCATATTAAGTTTGTCAGAAATGTGAAAAGGTGGTCTGTGGGAAATGTTTGGGGGGAATCAATCAATTTCTTAATATAAAATTTTAATTTCCAACTTTGAATCTCTGTAGTAAAACCAGGGTTCCCGCGGGTCCTTAAAAAGTCTTAAAAGGCATCGAATTCTTCAAAATAAAATTAAGGCCTTAATTGGTATTAAAATGTCTTAAATCAGTCTTTCCTAGGCCTTAATTTTTAAAACATCATAAATAGGATTATTTTTATTTTTGTAATCTCAATAAAACATTAAAATTGACCTTTTTTTTTTATAAAAAAAAATAAATAACGGCTCGCCATTATTGGTTCCGTCCCGATAGCAGAACCAATAAAAGCGTTGTTGCAGCCGGGACATTTGGGAGATGCTCATATTTTCCAGACAAAAAGTAAATGGTCCAAGTGTAAATGTAACGGAAATTGTCTCCAGCCAAGAGTTTTCTCCATGGCTAAAACCAGGGAACATACATGAGGCTCAGTGGATTTAGTGCAAGAAGTCATTCAAGCTCAGAACGATGGGAATTAAGGCAGTGGAGTCGCATGCGAAGCACGAAACACAAATCGTCAAAATCGAGAAACAGCCGGTATTTCCCGGTTTTGTTCCACCCTTGTCTCTGCAACGCCTCCACTTATCACCAAATCAAACATACTAAGAAAACCATACAAAGAAAAATAGCTGCAAAAAAGACTTAGCACAACAAAGTTTGTGAATTCAGTTAAATAATTGTTAAAATATATGTCATTTGTGTGTTTTTAGCTTTCTTCCTGTATGGGAAGCTTTTCAAAATCTGAAACATTAGTGCAGTGGTTTATGTTAAAAATATATATTAGACCTGTTTCTTTAGGTTTACATATCCACTATGAGTTTATATGGCACACTAGAACCATCTCAGGTGATGACATCATCACTGCTCATACGTTTTATTGGGAAAAATGTCACCCGTCAAATTAACGGCCATTGGAAGGTCTAGTAGGATCAGAATTCTGGGAGTCCTAGTGTTAAAGACACAGAGCATGAGATGCTGTGAGGAAATCCCAGTTTTAACCTGATCTGTTTGTTTTTTGTTTTTAATCACCAGGTACGTGCGCATCCTGGGCAACGTGGTCCATGCCATTCAGATTAAAACCAGGCTCTGCCAACTGGTTGAGGTGATGATGGAGCGTCGAGATGATCTGTCCTTCTGCCAGGAGATGAAGTTCAGGTCAGTGTTCCTGACCTTAGATTTTAGACGTCTCTGTATGATTTCTCTCAGTGCTGAATAGCTCTAACTCCTTGTTTTTTTTTTCTAGGAACAAGATGGTGGAGTACCTGACGGACTGGGTGATGGGAACATCCAACCAAGCTGCCGATGATGACATCAAGTGCCTGACAAGGTGCAGCTCCTTGGGTTTTTTTAATTCATGTCATGCAAGATGCTGAGCATGCTCCCCTTAACGGCATGTTGTGATGTTTGATCTGCAGAGACTTGGACCAGGCCAGTATGGAAGCCGTGGTATCCCTGCTGGCTGGTCTCCCCCTGCAGCCGGAGGAGGGGGACGGCGTAGAGTTGATGGAGGCCAAGTCTCAGCTTTTTCTCAAGTAAGGAGACTTTAAAGGGGAACGCCGGTTCTTTTATATTGGGCCCTTGATTTTACGTTATTACATCTGTTCTCATCTGTCCTTGTAAGTAGAGCCTGCTTCAGTGTGAGAAGGCCTCTGCTACAGCTGATTTGGTTCTAAAAACAGAAAGCGTGTCTCTACTTGTACTTTCAACTGAGTAGGAACACAATTAGAGATCAATCCCTAGGTCAATGGTGCCTCCAGAAATGCTTCATAGAGGTGGCCAGATGGGGCCACTGAAAATCTTGGGGTGGCCACTGAAACTACACTGGAAAAAAGACCTAGAAAAAAACAAAACAATTCTTAAATTAACCGTATTTACCCTTAAACTGAGTAGGTAAATAAGATGATCTGCCAATGGAATGAGATACTCTTAGAATAAGATATTTAGATAAAATGCACTTTAAATAAGACAATGTAATTGTTTTCTTATTTTAACTGTAAAT